TGCATTCTGATATAAAGTAATTGCAAGAATTTGTAATTAGCGGATAAAGGAGTTGTCACACTGACTTCAGACTGCAGTGCAGTTATTGAAATGCAATTCGTGAGACAGCTAACACTTTTGTTTGACTACGCACTAAAACGGACACAGAAATGTATCAAATCCCCGAACACCCAAAGTAGATTAAATTTTTGTAGCAGTAAAGCTCCTAATGAAAGAGTTCGTCCAGGGAAGTATAGCCACCGTTTTTTTAGAAGGATAAAGATGCTGGTCAAATTACAGGCACATAGGAATTGTCAACATATCGACTCATCCGTAGAACAAAGGTCTATGTGCAAGACTACTTGTTCTCGGGACATAGTACATTTCGTTCGTTCTTCTTCGCTGTGGATGTCAGATCGACCTTTGTTCGATTTTATATTTCGAACGAAATAAGATATATAAATTTTCAAACCACCTTTACATAAGCCTTAGTTTCATTAACGAAATTGTTCTCGTAACGTACCTATTCTCTTTGCGCTATATAATCACATCGGACTCTGTTCTTCGGATGAGTCGATATGTCTCAGGGTGACGAGCGCAGTGGCAGTGACCCTATGATCTTTGCAATTTAAATCTCTGAGTGACACTGCAACTGTAATGGATAGGCGTGTCGTTTACCAGGCACACGACTTGCCCTCAGTTTTATAAGAAAAACACAATGGGGATTTTTTAAAAGTATTTTTCAAGGAGACCCTATAGTCATATCGAATATGCAGGACTAGATTAGGATGCGATGTTTTCTTTATAATGAACACTCGGCGTTTACGTGATCATAAGAATAATATTGTCTGGGTCTGATTCACTTCTGATTGACTTGATTATCGTCTCGAGGATAGTGCATATCCGCGCATTGGTAAGAGACAAACGTAATAATACGTCCCGCTTTGACAAACCAGGACACACGTGACAATAAACAAAAAAGAAATGGCGCGAAAGCGAAAAAAATATATAAAACCAGCACACCAGACTACACAAGATTAGTTATTTCTTAAAAGAAGGATGGCGAAAGCTGACCCAATAATAATTAAAATCAACGAAGAGTCGTTCATGAACGTTGCTATTATGATTTTACGTTTTAGTTTATGCCTAATTATCAATATGTTTTTGTATATTTTTACGAGTTGGGAATAAAGAAATTGTTAGCAAAGGAACGTTTTGACAAGAGGCCTCTTGCTAATGTCAATGTCACATTGAGATTGAAAACAATGTGACCATTTGTCGCCGTTTTCTGCCATTTGCGCTGATTTAATTTTTATTCATTTTCATTGCGGCAGAACATGTTAACGTTGCATTAAACGAGGCAGAGTTTGGCAGATTTGGGAACAAACTGAAAACTTGTTGTTTTCTGCTACTGCGAACAAACATTATGAAGCGAAATAGAGGACAATGTTATAAACATAACCTGTATCAACTTTGTAACTCCAACTTCTACAGGCTGTACTCAATTACCTTTTTTGATGCTATGATAATGAATCACAAGTATTGATAGGTATCTTTAACGCATGTCGTCAACAACACTGGGTCACAAAATACGGAATGTCGCCATCCTTCTTTTTAATCATTAAACATTTTCAGTTCTATTTTTAATTTTTTTTTTAATCGTTAAACATTTCGTAATTATCACAAACATTGTGTTTTATTTTTAAAACAATAATACATTTACAGGCATCCCGCTCTGAGGGAAAAAGTAAGGGTCACGTTATAAAGGGCGCTTATCTACACTGAACCAAATTATACAGGAGAGGGATTTAACGTTAGTACTTTGTTATTTCAATGGTTACGACTTTCATTTTTCGAGAGTGAACAATAATTTACGCTGTCTACGGACTGATAACAATATATTCCCGTAAATAATGCCGATTTGGTCACTAAATTACCGAAATCGTAACCAATAATCCAATATTACTTACGCGTACAAATTGCACTATCCCCGACGAGACTTACTTGATCTTTACGTGGCTTTAGGAGATTAAACAACAACCTGTATAAATAAATCATTAACATAAAACGTCTCATAATTCGGTGCACAAACAAATGCACATGATATAATTATAATAGGTCTGTACAAACAGATGCAATGCATAATGCATTCCACGTGCGTAAATCGTATAATCTGTCCATCATTAGTAGAAACGTCGTGATCACGTTTCTTTACTGGTACGTGTTTTAATATGATTAATGGGAATCTAATATTACAGACTAAAATTATAGTAACGTTTAGATTTACATACACGAACACCTGTGGTGAAGAATTCAAGTAACACTATTCCCACTGGCTTGTCTAAGAAATATACACTCCAACCTACTGTTAGGTATTGAACAGAAAATTTGGTGCATTGCAGCATTTGTTGCGTACCTTCTACATCGGTTTACCTTCTTATAACCACCATTCGCCACTGGCATACATTAGTAGGTAGCAGTAGAGCCCATTGTGAAAGAGTTCGTCCAGCGAAGTACTGTGAGCATTACTGCGTTCCAGTACCCTAATCTGCTAATTTTATTGACATTACTGGTCGTTGCAATCACTATACTGCCCTGCTAAGTCGAAAGGTGCTATCTCTGAGATACGCCCTTCTAGTTTTTTTTAAACCATTCTATAGCTATAATAATTTCGCATCTAATGGTATAATAGAAATAGCACTATCTAACTTAAAACAAATAAAAAAACACAGAAGTATTTTTATATGTAATTTTCTCCTTAAATTACTTTATCAATAAATGTATTAGTAAAAAATATGTTTAATTATTTTTGAAGGTGCGAAAGTACAATTTACAAAAACTCGACTTTTTCGAAACCTACTCCGATTGGGTTAGCCCTTTTCGGTTTAACAAGACAGTATATTTGCTATTTTGCTAAAATCTAGTTGAGCTTCAATAGAGTGTCAGTGGAATGACAGTGATGACATTATCACTGATGATCAAAGTTGCATTAGTACTAAAACTGCCATGAAATATGCACATCTTATGCTTAGGCCACACGAAAGCGACCGCGGAAGCGTTCCGGGCGCGGGGATATTTGTAATATACGAGTTCATATGTAAGTTCATAATAACCCTACTACACTGAAATATGTGACAAAAAAATACATTTAATGTGAAGAAAAAAATTGCTGATTAAGATGCGAGATAAAAATTAAGGTATGCATAATGATTTCTATGATAATTATATAGTAAAACAACATCGACCGTTAAAGTCACTCCATTTAGACTGCAACTAGATTTTAGCAGAATAACTAATATTATCATAATTGCAATATAATCTGAGTGGAGTCTCAATCGAATTACAACGACCAGGTAGTTTCAAAACATTGGCAGACTGGGGGCCCAATTCAAAGATAATTTAATCAAAGAAAAATGTGTAGGGCTGAGGTCAGTCCCGTTAAGCCGTTAAATAAGCGGAATAAGGTACAATATTAAGAGATATATATTCACAAAGTTACTAACGTAAAAGGCAATGATATAAACAAATATATCCCCACGATGTTTCAACTTGTATTACTCATTTCCGAATCAAAACAAAAATCAAAATAAAATCAAAATGGGCAATTTATATTCCCTTCCACATTCGAAATTTACTCGAGATAGTAGATTGTTGTCATTTAAAAGTTCACGCAAGATCATAGAATTTATACCACACTTTGTTTATATTTTTGTTTTGGTTTTTGTTACGTGACAAGGGCCGATATTGTCTATTTGATAAACATGACTAAAGTAACTTTTGACGAACGGCCCGGAAGTAATAAAAATGACATTAACACGCTGTTTTTTTTTTAAGGTTAACACGCTGTTTGAAAGACTTTTTTTTATTAATAGTTTTGGCTTGAATACAAGTCCTTTGAGCCGTGTCTACGTTTACTTATTGGGATCCTTAGTAATATTTTCCATTATAATTCTAATTCTAATACAATTTTCACCTTCTCTTAAATAACTTAGTTCACTTATTTTTAAATAGTCTTTTAAACGGCGGGAGTCAATATTTATGTTTTACTTTCACTTAAATCATATAATCTTGTATCACTTTGAACAAAAACATTGAATTCGTAATTAGTGGAATTTTCAACATAAAGTCTTCTGTAATTTGGTTTAAAATAAGGAATATAGTTCTAATTTTCTTCGTTTTTTCTTCATAATATACTTAAAATAAAAATAATCTCTGTAAAAACTGTACTCGTAACTTTAAAAACCCGCCATTTTTCTCGTTTTGAAAGACTGTTATAGTTAGATTTAGTTTAGAAACTTGTTTAGATATATGAAACCAGCAATAATTTCCAACAAGAACATGCTAACCAATATGTATTTTATTCCAATATTCCAATTCTCTTAAAAGATTTGTGTAACTAATAAGTAAGTAGGTAACAAGTAAATTTTGTAAAGCAAATAAGATTTTGTGGCCTCTTAAACATGTTCTAATTAGTGTTATTGAAAACAATACTGTAAAAAATATAGAGAAGGAAGCTAGCTTTACTAAAAAGGCGAAAATAAATTACTTACACGGAAAAATGATGCGCTTGCTTATACTAAATACAAACAAACGATTAGCAATAAGGTTACGATTTAAATGGAAAAAAAAATTTAAATAAATTCTAGGATCGGCGGTCTCAAGCACATAAGTCAAAAAGGTGCTTCATTTATTAATATAGTATAATTTATAATTATATATTTGTTTGTGTTGTTTTTAGTATTGAAAGTTAAATAACCTCCACAATAAAGTTAGAAATTTGCGAAGTAACAAATGAATTTGACTTATGTGCTTTAGCCAGAAGATGTATCAATTTAAATGAATGATGTTGGATTTTGACTTATAAGCTTTAAGTTCGTCGAAACAAAAATTTAATCCGGGTAAAAAATGCATACAACTATAAAATGAGGTACATAGCGGCATCTAGAGACGAGTAGTGTAACAAATATTACAACCTCTCGGACGGCAATCAAGATTAAAAAAAATAAAATACTCACCAGCGCCATCTGCTGTCGAGTAGCGGAACTTTAGCGTCCCCTGCTCAGCGACGATTCCAACTGCGCCATCTAGCGCTGTTTGGTAATAACACTGCATCCAATGAACACTTTAAAAACACTCCTTTGCCAACATCTACATCTTTTATTTTTTCATGTTTAAAATTTTACTTGCACCATTGGCCACTAAATCATTTATTTTAACACTAGAACACTTGCACATGTGGTGTTGCATCATTATTATTTGATTTATCTGAAATTTAAAAAAAAAACATATTAAATCTTTAAACTTTTTGAAGCAAAGCCTTACTTACAATATGTGGATTATGTAGTTTATAGAGCAAATTAAAATTACATATGTTTGTAAAAATGTAACAATATTCAATGTTTTAAATAAAGAAGAGATTAGAACCACATTAAAAATAATTTAAAAGAACAATAATGACATTTATGACATATATTATTAATTGGTCTTTCTAAAGGTAGAAATATTTAATGGCATTCGTTTTCATCTCATTTTTAATTATTCACTTTTATATATAACCGCAATACTAAGTAATCTGTAAATTTTCCTAAAAGATAATAAATAAATAAAGGTTTTATTTATTGCATTTTTCTTTTTTACATTGTTCTGCTTTACTGGTGTGCTCTAAAGTTAATTCACATCACAAAAACAAGTATTACAAATACTTAATTTATTCATTACAATTCCTGCAAATGTAACACTACTCAGGATAACTACAGACAAATCTAAAATATACCCTTAATTGACATAAAACATCATTTGACTCGGATAGAATCTAAGATAGGTACTAATTGTAATTTTCAAAAAGTTTTCATTGAATTTAATTAATTTTCATTTTATCTTGAACATTTAGCCCCATGCTTGCATTTGATAAGCATGAGTCTCTTGCATTCCATAATCACATGTTAATATCATCATTTCATAACTATGTAGGTTATTTTAGGCTTATTTCATGAGAAGCACATGTCGCAAGAAGTTTATCAGTGCCATTTTCAAAAGTGTGTTTTTATTACACATAAAAACACGAGGTAAAAATATTTCAAAACATGGCTTTTCCCTGTTACTGAGTAATTAAATATATTATATTTTTCTTCTTTATCTTGAACCTAGATTCGTTTTACAAATTACATATACGTACCACTATCACTTCATCCATTCTGCCCCTTATTCCTGAGGCAAAATCCATTGCGAAAGCACCAAGAAAAAATAACCAAAGTACACACAAGTACTCAACCTAACATTTATTTTACACGCGTTTTCTACATCAAAATATCGATTATGGCCCTTATTAGGCTTCTAATCGGTAATAAAAGGCTTGTTGAGATTTAAAAAGCACTTTTTAACTCGCTTTAGTGCTGAAACACAGAGAAAATAGCGTGAAAAGTGCAAGCACGTGCACCACTGAATGCACTTATATGCACCGTATAAATATGGCCCCAAAAACACTAATAAGCTCAAATAAACTTGTGTAAAGTTTAGACTCACTAAATATAATGATTAATAAGTGATTTAACACGTTAACTATGCAACCAATTCGAATTACAGCCGCTGAAAAAACTACACAAAGAAAACATATGATCGATCGAAATTGAAGTGCACATGGAATTGTCTATGGAATACCTACTGTCAAAGAAACTGAAATGTGAGGTTATTTTTGTAGAGGGCGCTACTCTTACCTTAAAAAGCAATAAATCACGCAATAAAAACGATTTGCATCACTCGTAATTAACAGAATATATTTCGTAAAAGTCTAAACAAAATTATAAGTTGACGTTACAACAGATACATTTTCACATTAAAACCAAATATTGCGATTTTTTTAATGTCTATGGTTTACAAAAGAGTGAGTGACATATTGATTATTGATTGACTTGAATTTGAGAACAAGCCAATATCGATTCAACATTTCTTTTCCATTCAATCTAAATTGAATAAATGAATTAAAAAATAATGAACAAACGTACCATGAATGTTGTGTGGTTGATATCTTAACATAATTACAGAGTCGCTAGGTTAAAATTCGTCATTCCAAATTTGTCAAAGCCTGAAAAAGTATTATAAACTTAATAGGATGTCTATCTATATCAGAGACATTCCTTTCAGTGTAATAAAAAAAATTTAGTACTTACCGGCTCATTCTCCACCCACAAGCTATCGAACTCTTTTTCGAATTTGCTAAGTATATTGGCGTTTGAAGTAACAATAACGCTTTCATGGTTCGAAACCATAGCCTGAGTGGACCAATTCAATGAGCCAGACATTACAAAACCTCTAACTGGTTTAGGTTTTGGTTGATACTTCAGATTAGGTTTCGTGAACAGCGCGTGCAAGTTCAATTTTTCAGCGTGAGCTTTTAAAATGTTCTTACGCTTGATGGCTTTAGGCCCGTCAACGATGCAAAACTTGTGATGCATGAGAATGGACTTCTTGTTTGTCTGCACATGAATAAAACCTGAAAAAATAAAATTAATTTGGAATATCAAACTCAACAACTAGGTACTACTTCAAAATTTTAAGAACACTTGTTCTACTCACTAAATTCTTTCAACTTTTTGATTTGTGAAGGTGGGGTGTTGGCCGTGTCACTGTCAACTACAATCCTCACTAATACGTGTTTCTGTCCCAACCTTATGATATGTTCTGCTATTTCACTGCTAGTAATTAAATACATGCAAACGTCCAATGTCTCACGTGCTGACTTTATGTATTTTATTAGTTTAAAGCAGTTCAACTCTCGACTTTCGCATATCGTTACATCTTGATTCGGTGGCACTCTTATAGTATGACGAACAACATCATCGGAAAATAATATCACGTCGTTAATATCTCTGTTCTTAAAATTTAAAATTTCACTGCACGGGTCTTCACTAGGATCGGGTTTTTTGCGATTAAAAAAATATTTGTATAGACTTTTAGCTACTTGCGTGGCAACAACAACCGTAGCTGTTGATGCTAAAATTATCTTCGCACTCCGCCAGTCCATGATTGTAGTTCACAGGTTTCAAATAAAAAATATATTTCTTGGTTATTATTCGCCCACCATATCGTCCACGCATCTGTAAAGCACTCGCTGTGATTTTGGTACCGTAAAATTTCAAACTACCTACAAATTGATTTTGTTGTTGATTTTTTAGGATACGGAATCTATTTCTTATTTTCTGAAACGTACTAAGATTAAAATATTTTTTGTAATTATTACGTTAAAATTACTTTTTCGTTGTATTTAGCATATTGTTCTGTTGATTAAGCAATTTTATAACTTCATCGATTATTAATTATTACTTATGATCCGTGCAACGAAACGTCAAGTCTTTCCATTCATTTCATTTCCTATCAAAAACAATTTCATTCAATTCATTCAGTCCGTCATTCTAAAACAAAAATAAAAAGCCGTTGCTTGTTTTGGGGCGATGTTGCACTTTATGCAGAAAATCAGATAGAAAATAAAAAACCAAGCGATTACTTTAAACCTCTATAAATACCTCATAAATCTTTCTACGTGTTTTTATAAATATTCCTTTACGTAAAAAGAAAAATATCTAATTTTGGACATATGGATTATTTGCGACGCTTTTAGACCAGCGAAAAAATGCCGAAAATACCTTATAAGGCAGACAAAGCAAGTGAAAATGATGAAGATTATGAAATAGTGTCGTTCGAGGACTTTTGTGACAAGCCAGCTGGGTCTAAAACTGATTTGTTGACTTTGAACGATAACATAAATTATCGCCTTTGTTACGAAAATGATAAGACTTTAAAGTATGAAAATGATGGTGAATCTTCTTCACGGGATCCTGACAAGCAAACTGAGACGTCTCTAACTGGAAAGAATGTGACGTTTAAGAGGAAGTTGTCTGGTACGTTTGCTCCCTTCGGAAGGTACAGTGGGAAGACTGATAGAGGCCCCCTTTTCAGTGGCGTTATTCCAAAGCCGAGAACAGATGTGGATTCGAACAGAGAGCACAGGTGAGAATCTTTCGTCTTAAGCAATGACACTAGTTTCTTAATTTCAAACCATGGCATTTCTTGTGCTGTGAGTTAATTTTAAATTAGGTCGGAGTGGTAACTAGGTTTAATGGCAGTAGAATCTCCATGTAGGACTTATTTTGATAGGTCCAGTCAACAGCACGTCAAGCTTGATACTTTGGACCGAATATAACATGAGCCCTCAAATTATATTTTTGTAATGTCACTAAAAAAAATATATATATATAACCGTCAATGTGCATATAAACCGCCTAAGTATTTTAATAACCGGCAATCTATCTCACCACCGCACTACATGTCTTTCAACCCTGACGTTGGCGAAATTGTGGTGTAAAACAACAGCCATAGTTACAAAAGTTGAAGTTGTAGTTGATAATTTTTCAAGTTATGTGTGTATACATCAACATAAAAATAGAATTGAATCTATACAGAAGAGTTTCTTGAGACATTTAAGCACTAAAATGGGCTTAAGATGTAGTCATTCATCATATGAAGATAGGTTTTAGTTTTAAAATTTTAAAATTGACACTAGAGGTTAGATGCTCCTAGCACAGCTTTGCCGTGTTATATAACTTGGTTAACTCTGTGTGGGATGCTTGTGAATTGTTAGATAGGGTGGTGCTTATGATTGGAAAATACTGCATGCAAAAACTTTTTTATGTACCACTAACGTCATATGACATGTACAATGATCAGTTGTTTTGTATGTGCAGGAATTATAATTAGGTTAGCATACATAGATATATTCCACTAATCTTTCAAATCATTTAAAGCATCTACTCAAAGTCAAAGTCAAAGATTATATTATTCCATAGGTAAAATAAATTTATACTTGAAAACGTCACATTTAAGCTACTGCTCGTTCACTACACTGACTTCCCTGAGCAGAACGAGCAAGAAACTCTAACTCGGATTACTCTTTTCAAATAAACTTAAATGCTATGGAATACACTTTGAATCAAATGTGTGTGGATTCTGGAGCCATCTCGTCTTTCCATACATCTTTATCTAACACATAGTCTTCAATTTTGTAATATGATTTATCGATCAAAATATTTTTAATGTAGTTTTTAAACTTAGGAAATGATAAACTTAATATATGCTCCGGAATGTTATTGTAAAAACGTATACAGTTCCCCATAAACCAGTTGTTTACCCTCGTTAAACGAAATCGTAGTACCATGAGTTTGGATTTAGCTCTAAGGTTAATATTATGGATATCTTCTTTCTTATTGAAATTATGTATATTTTTACGGGCATATAAAATATTTGAGTAAATGTACTGTGATGCCACAGTCATGATACCAGTCTTCTTAAACTTTTCTCTGAGAGAAACCCGAGAGCCTAAACGGTACACAGACTATGAGATTTCATACTAGGTTCAAGGTGCATTCATTTTGCTTATGTTTTGTAGATTTTTAATTATGGTTTCCCCAAGCGCCTCTTTTCTTTATTTCATAAACATTCTTTTTTTATAAGATATTTAACTACATCTATTTCATTTCAATGTTGTGCACAATTGTCATCTGTTCCAAGCTAAAAGAGTGTTATAGTAATAAATTAATAATAAGTGTTGTACATTGTTTGCGTACTGTTATTGCATCTAAGTAAATAAATAAATTAAATAAAATGCAAAGAAGATAAATAATGATACAAATAACAGGGGTAGTGAGATTATAAATATGATTATTAATACAAAGATCGAACACATTAAACAAATTCCTTCAATCTGGCTGGATTCGAACCGACGTCTTCTAGCATACTGTGCCAGACGCTATACCAACTAACGTCTGGCACAGAATGAATCAGAACGAATCAGCAGACCTCACGAATTTTTCTATGTGCTTGCATTATATCTTTGTATTTAGTTTTCAATTACTTTTTAGCCATAGCGTAATCTATGAGAAATCTATGATATTTTGTCACCCAGTTACATACCTTTACAGCTACCAGTCCTGGCTAGAGATGTGGCTATTCATTGTACTTAAATTTTTATAGAATTGATATTCAATTTTTTTTATTAATAATTATAACAAACTAGTGGAGTAATTTCCCATAAAAATAATTGAATATCAATTCAATAAAAATTTAAATATAGATATGACCGAATGTATTATGAAATATGGTTGCTTGTCAATAATGAATTATACTGTTATTATTTATTTTATTTATTTATTTGTGGTAAACCAATAGCTTCACAACAAATGAAAAACATCAACAAATACATTACAGCCAATTATAGTAAACTGTTATCAGTTATCCTGTTGTTAAGTAGTTTTTCGTACAGCATGACAATGACAGTGAGAGAATATTCTGTAACCTGTTTTTTTTTTATAAACAATAAGTGCGCATTTGACCTGCATCTCACCTGATGGAAAGTGATGATGAGGTCGATGATATAGCATGCACACCTAAATAATGCCAATTCACGCTCGCCTTGAAAAGATCCAAGTTGTAGCATGCAGGGAATAAGTCCACAGGTAGGGAATTCCACTCTGCTCGCCATACAAATGTGAAAGCGAAACGCTTCATGGAAATCCTGGAAATATCCACAAGGTGGGGCTGGAATTCCAGCCCATGTCTAGTCCCCCGATGATGCATAGGGGAAGGCGGAATCAAATTATGCAATTCCCTCACACACTCTCTGTGATACATTCTGTAGAATACTGATAAGGAGGCAACTTTATGGCAGAGTTCAAGGATCTTCAGCATTGCCTCTACTGATTCCGAGTCAACTATAAATTGTTAATGTTGTGGTTCAGTCAACTGTTTTAGTAACACATTATTATGTACTACAGTAAAAAGAAGGTCTTTTTTACAGTTCTTTTTGTACATTAACAAAACACAAAAAATCGAACACAATGTCATTTTCACTCATAATGAAAACATCTGTTACTGTTATAATGTTATTGTTGACTATAATCATTAACCAATAAACCAAAACAAAATGGCTGTTTTTGGCACCAGTTGTTCAAATTTATTGATGTTCAATGAAACTCATCACTATTAAATATTAACATCAACATTATGCCAATTGCATAAAGCACAAAATCGTAGTTTCAAATATGTGATTTAATAAAATGAGTAAGAGAATTTTATGTTGTGTACTGAACGATTTTAATTGTAATAATAAGGTCAAGAGCAAAAAATTGATTGTATATACAAATTTTGCAGGCTCATTTCACGTCACATTTTGTTCATATTCACAAACTGGCTTTTTTTAAAGTAACGCATCCAAAGTTTACACCCTTGATAAGAAATTTAAAATAAATAAATAGAATATCACTCTTTATAAGATACGAGTTTGAGAAAGTAAGGCGACGATATATAACAAATAAAATGAGTGTTATGACATTTTTTTCTTAAAAAAAATTACTTTAAATCTCTCTTGTAATATTTACAAATGCGCGTTAGACCAACTCATCCATAGAACAAAGATATATGTGCAAGACTACTTGTTCTTAGGACATAGTACATTTCGTTTGTTCTTCTTCGCTGTGGAATTCAGATCGACCATTATTCGATTTTATATTACCGAAACGAAATTAGATATAGAAATTCTCAAAACAAAGTTACAAAGGCCTTAGTTTGAATAACGAAATTATATATTTATTTATATATTTATGCCACACGCAAAATAGGCGCCTCGACGTCGAGTTGCGGAAACTAGCCCGTTGCACCAATACCAATACCAATTATATATTTATTCTTTTTTCGCCATATAATCACATCGGACTGTGTTCTCCGGATGAGGCGAGACGTTTTAGCTTTTGAGCGTCGATATAGACCGAATTATTCGCATTTCAAAATTGCTACCGTCACTTAACGAAAATGTCAACTTTTGGGAAAATGGTCAGTAATGTCTCTGAAATTAAGTTCATATTTATAAAAGCCAGCACTTTATTTAGTGATGGTGTTGTTTACAATGTGTAATATGATAATGCACGCAAGCATTCATATGATAGTCATATTTGTGCTATTTTTATACATACAGTTAAGCTGTTTTATGAAGTCTTACCTAAATTAACACATGAT